TATCCACAGTGCCACCGTTACGCAGCTCCTGTTCCTGGCGAACTAGGAAAAGAGAACAACATTCATAGTTGTTATAGGAATAAAAAGAAAAAGATTTAGACAGAGACAAAAGTGACAGCTTGTCTTTGTTGGTTGTAATTACGCAGTATTAGGCTACACCACATTCGCTACAGATTGTTCAAACTCTGAAAGCTTGAATTTACTCACTTGTTTCTGTTTGGAAGTCTCGGAAACCGTCAAATATAGATCGAGCAGGTCTTCTTCGTTTTGGCACTGCATGCATAACAGACACATCAAACTTTATACTCAGCAGATGACGGAAACAGAACGACGAGTAACAGCGATTTAATTTAAGATCTGGTTGCATCATGTTGAATAAGAAAAGAAGCAGTACAATACCTCCAAACAATGGTTCTGGTTCCACCAATATGTCCTGCTTCTGGGGAATGGGGGCTCGTACTTCACTGAGACAAAGAATAAAAAAACACAACACATACAGTATTAGTCACGCAAAGTAATCTAGAGCCAAACATCCATCAAGTTGTAAAGATACACTCTCTGATCACCCAGCAGCAACCCAAATCACTGCAGTGCTCTTTCCTCCAGCTCACCGTTAACAACAACTCTAAACTAGGACAGACATTTAGGAGCACTGTGAAATAATTACAGAGTGTGTCTTAAAAGAAACTAAAATGTGGCATTTTTGTCTGAAGTAAGTTTGTAAAAACAAATATCATCTTACTCTGAAGGGGGAGCTCTGCTGCTTGAGGCAGCTGAACTGGAGCTGGTGCTGGGCTCCTCTGCAATCCCACCTCCGTCCAGAAACATGGTCACTGCCATCTCCAGGTTGTTGTTGCATGCTTCCAACATATGTTTTCCTACACTTTCTGTGGCCCCTAAAAAGAGTGTCGGACATATACTGATGTTGAGAAACATTTATAGACAAAACTGTACTGCACATGTGTGTGAAAACTCACACTATCCGTTATGTATATCATCAGTAACATTTTATGTTCGCAATCATCTGTTTTATATTAAAATAACCTACGGAAACGAGTATATTGATTTTAACACGTTGTACCTTGTTTACTACACATCACCTTCCTTTGATAAAAACATTTGTTGGATAGCTTTCCTTTAAGAGGCCCCTTGGATTCAATTAATTGTACTATGTTGTGACTGGGACCTGAACAATACTGGACTTTAGTTATAAAGTAATATATTGGCCAATATGTTTAACAGAAACAAAAATATTTGATTACAATCCTTTAATTTGATTAAGAAATGTGAACAATATATGTAAAGGACCCATTACAGTTTAAAATGAACTTGTCAGTGATTTCTGGGGGACAAACTATGTAATGGGAACACAGTTTATTAAATTACCACAAGTGCAGTGTATCTTTGTCATTTCTGGGCTAAAAATTCATCATATAGTAACATCTTTCACTTCAACATCATTAAAACAGTGTCATTTGTTTGAATTAATCAATTTAAAGGTACTATAGTACATTATGCATGTTGCAGCGGTTTATTAGAAATCATGTGTACATACTGCTAACCATTTTCTGTTTTCTGTTTCTGTTTCTGATTACCAGCTTTTTAGAGGGCCACTGGTTTTCATCCATTTAACCATTTTGTGACAATGCATACTTTCACACAATTGAAACAGGCTTCTCACAAACCTCGGTCAATGTGAACATCCTGTTTACTATTGTTTTAGTCGAAATTACATCCTGATTTTGTGTAAACGCAGAGAGCAAACTTTCCTATAAAGTACAACAATGTAGCATCAACTTTATCACTCATAAAAAGATGGATTATCATGTCTCCAAAAAAGCCTTTACAGGTTGACTGCAACAACTGTACAGAAATGAACCAAAGCCAAACAACTTCCTGAAAGGTAAAGTCGGAACAATGCATGCAGGCTGGCTGCTAAAAGCCTTTGGTAACGTTGTGTACTGTAGTAGGCAGCAACGCAGCTAAAGTACAGGTTACGTGATGTATAGTGAAAGGCTAAAACATGCAACAAAAAAACACAACAGCTGTCCTTAAATGTATGAAGATGACTCATCGCCACACTGCATAAAACTATACAAAATACTCTGAATCAGAGAATAAACTAGACGTGAGGATTAACTTTGGTCTTTTTTTTTTAAGTGAACAGCGCCGTTTGGCTACAATGATCTTTCCGTGTGTACTGCGCATGTCCGTTTCACTTTCCAAGTCTAGCAGCAGCCCCCGAACTGAGTCTCCTCTCTTTCTCCGTTAAATAACTTCAAACTGAACCGCTGTCCATCGTGTTAAAGCACACATAAACTATTGAGGACATCTGAGCGAGTGGTCCGAGACAGACAGTGTGCTCATCGAAGTGTTGTTAGCCGCACAGCCGGAGTGAAGCTGACAGTAACACACCACGGAGCCCGGCTGGTGATGAAGAAGCGAAATGTTGCACAGCCGACGTCCATTCCACAATATCAAACAACATGCAAAGCAAAAAAAGGGAGCAGAAAACCACCTCCAGGCTCGAGAAATAGTGTCTTTAATGAGCGCTACAGCGAAAATCTGATATTTACAAGTGGCTGCGGCAGATAATATTAAAAGCTGGTGGTTTTACGGTCCTTTTTCGGAGTCTTTCACTTGAGTTTATCTGATAACTGGCTGTGCTTTTTCCCTCTGCAAAGCACTGACAGCGTAGGGGCCATAGCAAGACTAAACGTCCGTTTTCTTGTCTGCGCACTAATTTCGTGGTTTGCTGGACAAGGGAGCGATTCCTGTTGGATAACCCAAAACTACTTAATAGATCAAACGCAAAATAAAAGGTTATTTTTACCTGTTATTGCTGTGAATTGTTGTATTAACCCATTCACCCCCGGAGCTGAGGTGTCTCCGAGCGCCGCCATCTTACCGCCACAAACAACAACATAAATGTGGCGCATGCGCTACATCGTCCTTTTCCCCCTGACTGGCGCGGCGCGAGCCCCATGCGTCACCAAAGGATTGTGCTGCATTGTGGGGGATGTAGTTCAGGAAATACTTACTGGCGTTTTCTTAATTCATAAAAAAATACATTAAAAAAGAGTGTGTATTTCATGATTTTGCAGTTCCTTCAGTTTTCAACGGATTTTATATTAAACATGATTTGCTCAACAACCACATTTATTTTAAGATGTTGATGTTCGGTTAAAACCATGCAGCATCAGGAACAACATTATTATGTCTTATCTGCATTTGGTGGTATACAGTGGAAAAGTATTGCCTTTTTTCCAACAAAAAACTTAATTGTTATAAAGTTAAAGAAGTATTTCATTTCATTTAGATTTTACATCAAATTTCCCTGCAAAAGAAGTATTGGAAAAATGTTCCCAAAGCAAAACACATATTAGTACTTATTATTTTTGTTATTCAGATTCATGAGATCAGCAGGGTTTCCACTTTATCAAATAATTTCCAGGAGGTTTTCTTGACAATACAGGACAGCACTCGCTTACAAACGGCCATATAAGCTGCAGTTTCAGGGAAAATTACTACATTTGGCCACAGCCCATCAGTAACAGTTCAAATCGAGTTATTTTATTTATTTTATTTTACAGAAATGTAATCTTCTAGAAAGTCAAAGTGTTAGTTGCATGTACAATTAACATCACTGTACATCTATTTATCAACCACCACAACAACAAGAAATTTGATTATTATTAGGCTGTATGCAAGTAGATAAAATAGAAAAAATACACTAAATGCCAAAAAGATTATTGCAACACAGTTACACTTTTCATCTGGTAAACCTCCGAATATACAGTTTATCCCACCATCAGTCAAGTTTCAAACAAAAAAACAGGTTCACGTAGGCGATCTGAGTGAAGAGCTAAAATAGAAAAAAAACCCGGACAACACAGATTATTTCCAGGACATTTGGTCATTTTAATTAATTTCCAGATATTTCTACGACTGGAAAACTCATCTCTAAATTTAAACACATAGGAAAACATTTAAATTTTTGTTTTTTGACATGCAGTGTTTTTATTAGAACAGGTGTTGTGTGCAGATTGATGTATTTGATGTATAATGTTGAATCTAGTGGGCTGAAGTTAATTCATACGTAATTCAGTTACTGATCATTATATCTACCTGGTAACTTAATTAAAGTTGTAAAGAACAAACAAGCTAAGAAGACTTGTTTTGTTTTGTTGTTTTGTTTTACATTTGTTACTTATTTAATTTAATAGACTTAATTCACTGCTCTGCTCTACAATTGTTGTACAAAGTGTGAACCACATCTACTGTTTTTCACTATTGTTGTTCATCTTTAATGTGAATAAAGTTTAAAAAAAAGTTATGTAATATGTTGTACTTTTCAGTTTCAAAACTGTACTGGATCAATCATGACAAACACTTAATCAATATATATCAAATATATTAATGATCGACCATCCATCTCTCCAGAAGTTAATATTCCAGAGGCAGACAGGGCCATTTACTAATTCTGAACAACAAGCTGCATCTGTACTTACAGGGGCTATGGAGAAAATAGCAGATTGGATTATTTATTCATGCTTGACACTGAATTTGTCCAAAACTCTCCAATATTTATAATAGTTATGCAGATCGTTGTCTACAGATTACAAAAAAAAAACATGCTCATTTTAGATTTAAAAGAAATCAGATGAGTGCAGATGCAGCAAAACTGTACATGTACGCTATGATACTGTCACGTTTCTCATACAGTGGTACAATCTGGTCTTCATAGTCTGTAAAGGGAAAGACCTGAAAGATCCAATGGGACTCTCTCATGAACGTTCCTGTTTCAATGGCCACATGTTCGTCCCTCGGCATACAGACAGATCATTCCACTGTGTTGACCTGCACCACTCTGGGGCTATATGGAATATGTATACATACTATTTATCTGTGTGGCATCTGTCCCTAGTAAACACTTAACCACTGAAGTGACGAATGTGAAATACAGTAGGACCTTTGCTTTTAAGGTGAGGTGCTAATGATTTATGTTATTTGCATAATACATTCAGTTTGAAAACAGCTTCAACCAAGTCCAAAACCTGAATAATCAGTTCTAACAACGAGCATCTAGCAATCGGAATAATTGCTCATTCAGCGACCAATCAAGGTCAAGTTAAGATCTTAATTACGGTATCTCAAACAAATCTGTTGTGCTGCCTGCATAAACCAGAAAAAAAAGGAATCACTTTACAAAGGGAAGGTGATGATGGCACTGACTTTCTACATCATGATATGTCCAAACTATATTTACAAATACACAGAGTGACACTTCCAATCCCACTGGCCAATTGTTAAGTAATTATAGTTAAAGCTGAATATAAAATAACATTACATTCATATCAATAATGCAGTGTCCTTCAGTTTTGCTGATAGTCTAAAATGGGCTCATACATGTTCTTCAGTTGAGGTATGATCAAGATCACTAACCATGAACAATTGGATTTAAAAGGATTATAATTTAATTTTGTTTTAAAAAGAGCAGCTAAAGATCTCTTTAATACAAACCAGCATATCATACTACCGTTTTCTTCCCTACAAAGAGAGATTCAATATTAACAATTACTATAGAGCCAGGTGAAAGGAATTAGACTCTAATGGTCAGTATCTTATGTTGCACAGAAAGCACTTAGTTTAGCATTGTCCATGTAAACCCAGCAGCGCACTGAAATCTGATGCCTCTGTCCACGTGTGACTTTTAGCCCTGAGGTGGGAAATTGTTTTCATACAAAAACTGCATCACTTTTTAATTGTAATCGGGAGTAAATCAAGTGCACTCGAGCATTATATACAGTGGGACCATTAGAATAGGTCCCATAGTTTTTGTTGAAGGTGGTCATCTTCGATATAAATGAGTATTTACTTTGAATCAATACTGAAGGCCAAATGAGAACATTGCAGAATGTGTCACTGTAGTGTCTTTACACATCTGAAAATCTTAATCTTCAAAATGTGTTTTAAAATGGTCTGAGCATGAATTAATTTATCTTACATTAGCCCTGCCATTACTGAGTCACTTCACTTCAAAACCAAACTACATTTTACTTTTATCAGTTAAAATAAAATTTATGAACAAGAGAACCAAAGCTGTTATCAGTGATGTGTTTAAGGTAAAAACAAATACATAAAAGGGGGTGAGGTACCACTAACCATGTTTATGGACAATGATTTTACATTCTCATGAGCTTTATTTTACTGCAGAGGTCACTCTTATTGATCAGGAAATGGTCCTATGAGTTGTGAAATATCTGGACAAGGAATAGACGAGACTGCTGGACATCAAAATCGGCCTTTCATCAGTAAAGATAACAGTTTATTAAAATGATTCATCAATATCTGCAGTTTTTTCTTAAAGATTTAAGGAGGTGGCCTTAATGTAACTAACTTAAATCTGCATGGTGTCACTATCGTGTGTTAGGCTTTAAGTTTAGTAAAGTTTTGTACCTTGTTAAGGT